GATGAGGATTAACAGCAGGAGAAAGACGATAGATGAGCAGGGTTATAATGAGAATGCTACGTATAATTCTGCTTATTGATGTATGTGTGTGCGGCGCGAGGCCTGCCTTAACGGCTATTGTTTCTCTCCTTCTACTGCTACTGCTACTGCTACTGCTACTGCTACTGCTACTGCTACTGCTACTGCTACTGCTACTGCTACTGCTACTGCTACTGCTACTGCTACTGCTACTGCTACTGCTACTGCTACTGCTACTGCTACTGCTGCTGCCTCTGCTACTGCTACGACTGCTGCTGTAACTGCTGCTGCTACTGCTGTTGTTGTTGCTGATAATGATCATGATAATCATTATAGTGACGAAGAGGAGGAGGAGGAGAAGGACGATGATGATGAGGATTAACAGCAGGAGAAAGACGATAGATGAGCAGGGTGATAATGAGAATGCTACGTATAATTCTGCTTATTGATGTATGTGTGTGCGTGCGCGAGGCCTGCCTTAACGGCTATTGTTTCTCTCCTTCACAGGTGTACCGCACCAACATGGCCGCCTCTCCGCTCAACGTGTCCGCGATTTTGTTCATGCTGGCACCACTCGATGGCGCCACCTGCAATAGCACGAACAGCAGTTCCTGCGAGCCTTGGTCGATGAACGGAACACAGCTGGAGGACTGGTTAGCTAGTTACCATGACGACCTGTTCGACTCGTTTCTCAGCGCCCTCTATACGTACCGCACGCCGATGACCATCTCGCTGATCATCGTCTATATTGCTGTGTTCGTTGTCGGACTTGTGGGAAACCTGTTTGTGTTTGCTGTCGTCGCCCGCTACAGGAGCATGCGCACTGTCACCTACACGTTCCTCGTCAACCTCGCCGTCGGTGACGTCATGGTCGTCATCATTTGCATGCCGATGACGCTCGGGTCGACAGTCTACAGACTCTGGATTTACGGTGACGTCATGTGTAGACTGACGCCATTCATTCAGGGCGTGAGTGTTTCTGTGAGCGTGCTGACGCTATTGCTCGTCAGTCTAGACCGCTACTATAAGATCTACTACCCGATGAAGGCTCGTGCGATCTTCTGCGGGAGAAAGGTGCGTGCGATGGTGGTGAGTGTGTGGGCGGCCAGCCTTGTCATCATGTCGCCCATGCTTGCTGTCAACGCCGCCGTCACGGACACCATGGGTGTGACACTGTGTCGTGAACGCTTTCCCAGTATAGAGTATAAACGCGCATTCGACGTGATCGTGTTCGCTATTCTCTACGTCCTTCCCGTCGCCTTCATGGCCTTCACCTACGCGCGCATCTCCCGCACGTTGTGGCACGGCGATGCACGCCTGCGCGGTAACCTTGACGACAGCCGGCGGCAGATAGAGGAGCAGGAGCGCATGCGCAGGACGAAGCGAAAGCTCGTCAAGATGATTATTGCCATCAGCGTCATCTTCGCCGTCACGTGGTTGCCCTATCACGTGGTCACGCTATGGTTGGACTTCAGTAGACAGGGTGTGGACTACCAACATAACGAGGTGTTTATAGCGCTGCGTATCTATCCGCTCGTGCAGTGGCTCGCTCTCAGTAACTCCTCTGTCAACCCGATCTGTTACTGTCTCTTCAGTCAGAAGTTCCGCGCCGCTCTGTGTCTGCTCTGTTGCCGTGGTAACGTCAGCGTCACTGCCGCCGCCGCAGCCGTCATCGACCGTAACGAGAGCGGTGCGACGGAGCGCAATGACGCAGCGTCGTCAAGCTTCATGCGTCGCTCGATGCGTCGCTTCTCACAGAAGGTGCGACGCAGCTTCGGCCCGACGCCGACGCGCGCGACGGCAGCTCACGACACTGTCGTCGTTACTAACTACCGTCCGGTAATGAAGTCTTACTCCGACACGACGACACAGCCCCACGGCCGCCGCTACCCTCTCCCCGACCCCCGCTCACTGACCCCCGCCTCACTGACCCCCGCCTCACTCACCCCCGCTTCTCTGACCCCCGCCCCTCTGACCCCCGCCTTTCTCTGACCCCCGCCTCACCGACCCCCGCCTTCCTGCCTCCGCCTCACCGACCCCCGCTTCCCTGGCTTCAATTCTGACCCCTGCCTGCCTGACTTAAATCCTGACCCCCGCGTGTCGTCATGCGGTGACGTAGAGTCAGTGACGTCAGCATCAGGGCGTGTCGTCATGCGGTGACGTAGAGTCAGTGACGTCAGCATCAGGGCGTGTCGTCATGCGGTGACGTAGAGTCAGTGACGTCAGCATCAGGGCGTGTCGTCATGCGGTGACGTAGAGTCAGTGACGTCAGAATCAGGGCGTGTCGTCATGCGGTGACGTAGAGTCAGTGTCCTCCAGCAGTGGCGACATAGCGATGCATTCCATGTGCAGCAGCGACGGCGACGGATCGTCTCTCTCCTTCTCCTCTCCCACCGCAACGCTGTTCAATATAGACACGTGATTAGCAAACACGTGCCCGCCAGGTGTCGCCCCGCTCGTTACCAGGTCGGCGTGCGGCTGCGTAACGTCGTCTAGCGTCGCTGACGTCATCTTGCAGAGCTGCGGTCCGTGGAGTGACCGGAACTTAATACGCCCGGGGGGGGGGGGCTAGTGGAAATGTTACATGTCTGTAGCGTAATGAATGAAAAAAAACAGTACTAGGTTTACTTTGGAGATTTTTTATATTATCAAAATTCATAACTCGTCTATTTCTATAAATAATCTACCTCAGGTAAATCTATGATATATAGATGAATACTTCTGAAGTTCAGCTACTGACTATGACAGCGAGAAACGCTGTTCAGGCGCTCAGTCATTTATCATCGTCTTCCGTGACGTCATTTATCATCTGTGACGTAATGGTCGTTGTGTTCACTTGATGTTAGCTTCAGCTTTCGTCAGCTTCCTGTCACGTCAGCGTCAGCTTCCAGTGACGTCAGCGTCCTCTAATGGTTATATATAATGACCACGTAGATGTAAAGTAAACGTAAAGTAAACGCGTGCTTACGTAACATGCGTCACTAGTCACGTGGACGCGAGATTTAATTACTACCCGAGGCATTAAAATATGAGAGGAATTCCTTGACTGGTGAATGTAGCATAGCTTCTACTACACAATGTACGCATATAGAAGGAGCATGAGCGTTATATCACATTACACTATATAATACATGTATGATATATCGTCATGGTGTGACGTTATGTAGACGCGTGAGCGTAACTATATCACCGTTAATTACATGTTACATCGTTACACAGAGAAAACGCTGATATTCGTCATTTATCGATTCTACTGTTCTATTGTTATCTGTGACGTCACTGAGGTCAGGCTAGTTTGTAACCACGGTCTGCATGTGTGTGCTAGGTCGGCGCAGTCGTGTGTGTGTGTGTGTGTGTGTGTGTGTGTGTGTGTGTGTGTGTGTGTGTGTGTGTGTGTGTGTGTGTGTGTGTGTGTGTGTGTGTGTGTGTGTGTGTGTGTGTGT